AGAATAGAATAGAATAGAATAGAATAGAATAGAATAGAATAGAATAGCATGCAGAATAGAATAGAATAATTGAATAGAACTGGAATAGAACAATGAAGAATAAATAGAATAGAATAATAGAATAGAACTAGAATAGAATAGAACTGGAATAGAATAGAATAATAGAACAGGACAGGACAGGACAGGATAGGATAGGATAGGATAGGATAGGATAGGATAGGATAGGATAGGATAGGATAGAAAAGAAAGAATAGAATAGAACTAGAATAGAATAGAATAGAATGCAGAATAGAATAGAATAAAATAAAATAATAACTTCTGTTCCATTCTGTTCTGTTCTACTCTACTCTACTCTACTCTACTCTACTCTACTCTTCTTTCCAATATCCTGTCCTATCCTATCCTATCCTGCTTCACAGTCCTTTCCAGCCCTCTCTAAGCGGTTTACAGAGTCAGCCTCTGGCCCTCAACAATCTGGCTCCTCATTTTACCCACCTCAGAAGGGCGTAAGGCTGAGGCAACTTTGAGCCGGTCAGGATCAAACTCCTGTCAGTGGGCAGGGAGCCATCCTGTAATGCTGCATTCTCGCCACTGTGCCACGAGGGCTACACGGACGGAGGAGTTTATCATATTTTCCTTAATTACAAAACATGAATCAGAAATGATGCAACTTAGCAGAGGTAAATACCCATCTCTCCACCGTGCAGGCAGAAATGTATGTCTCTTCTTACTCGGTTTTGGTTCTTTCGCTGGACAGCAATGTTTTGGGTGCGTGAACTAATTTTCCAGGTAGCCTTAGAACCACATTCTGTGTACAACGTGAGCTGGGCAAACCCACCTTCGGATGAGGTAGGCATCGTTTTACGCCCAGCTCGGCAATACTTCTACTGACCAGACTCTCTCCCTCTCTCTCTCTCTGAGGCCTGGAGCCTGTGTTGCCCACCAGGAAAAATGCGGCAGGGACTGGAAAGAACAGGGCTGCCCCAACATCTCCGTTCTCGTCCCCATCTGTAAGGAAAGAGGAAGAGCTGGATCCCACCTGCGCTGCGGCCACCTGGAAAATGATCCGAGATAAACTGCCCAGGCTGCCCACTGCAGAGGACAGGTAGATAGTAGATGCTGAAGAGGTATCTCTGCCATCGCATTCTCAGGGACAAATCAATGTCATGGAAGCGTGTTAGGCCTTAATCACTGTGTAAAGTTGGCCTTTCTTATGTCGTTGTAGAGACGATATTTTAAATCAGGGCATTGTGAACATTTTGGGGGTCCTTGGTGTTCTCTAAGTTTGGGTTTTGTTTTTTTTTCCTTGCAGACATTTCATTACCCAACTAGGTAATGTCATCCGTGCTAGAAGGGAGTAATGGTTGCGGGGGGAGGAAGAGGAGGAGGAGGGGGGAAGGAGGAGGAAGAAGAAAAGGAGGAAGAAGAGGGGGAAGGAGGAGGAGGGGAAGAAGGAAGAGGAGGAAGAAGAGAAGGAGGAAAACGAGGAGGGGGAAGGGGGAGGAGGGGGAACAAGGAAGGGGAAGGAGGAAGAGGAAAAGGAGGAGGAAGGGGAAGGAGGAAGAAGAGGAAGAAAACGAGAAGGAGGAGGAGAGAGGGAGGGAGGAGCTCTTTGGGTTTGGTTTATTATTCCCTCTTGTAGACATTTTATTACCCAACTAGGTAACATCATCAGTGCTAGAAGGGAGTGGGGTTTACTCTT